TCTCATTAGTTACCTATTTTATACATAGTAGTGTATATATGTCAATCCCAATCTCCCAGTTCATCCCATCCCCCCTTTCCCCCTTGGTATCCATATGTTTGTTCTCTACGTCTGTGTCTCTATTTCTGCTTTGCAAATAAGATCATCTATACCATTTGTCTAGATTTCACATATAATGTGTTAATATTCGATGTTTGTTTTTCTCTTTCTGACTTACTTCACTCTGTATGACAGTCTCTAGGTCCATCCACATCTCTACAAATGACCCAATTTCATTCCTTTTTATGGCTGAGTAATATTCCATTGTATATATGTACCACATCTTCTTTATCCATTCATCTGTCGATGGGCATTGAGGGTGCTTCCATGACCTGGCTATTGTAAATAGTGCTGCAATGAACATTGGGGTGCATGTGCCTTTTTGAATTATGGTTTTTTCTGGGTATATGCCCAATAGTGGGATTGCTGGGTCATATGGTAGTTCTATTTTTAGTTATTTCAGGAACCTCCATACTGTTCTCCATAGTGGCTGTATTGATTTACATTCCCACCAACAGTGCAGGAGTGTTCCCTTTTCTCCACACCCTCTCCAGCATTTATTGTTTGTAGATTTTTTGATGATGGCCATTCTGACTGGTATGACCCAATTCTTAAATAACTACAAATCTACTTTCAGTATCTATATATTTGGACATTTCTGGACATTTCATATAAATGGAATCATAAAGTATGTGGTCTTTTGTGACTGGCTTCTGTCATTTAGCATATTTTCAAGGCTCATCCGTGTTGTAGAATGTATCAGTACTTCATTTCTTTTTATGGCTGAATAGTGTCCCATTGTATGACACATTTTGTTTATCCATTCATCCAATTGATGGGCTTTTAAGTCGTTTCCACTTTTTGGATATTATGAATGATGCTGCTATGAACATTCATGTACAGTTGTTGTGTGGACTTATGTTTTCATTTTTCTTGGGTATATACATAAGAGTGGAATTGCTGAGTTGAGTGGAAACTCTATGTTTAACTTTTTGAGAAAATGCCAGACTATTTTCAGAAATGACTGCACCATTTTACATCTCCACCAGCAGTGTATGTAAGACTCCAATTTCTCTACATTCTTATCAACACTTGCTATTACCTGATCCTATGCCTTTTGACATGAAATCTAGCCTCTTTGCCTTGACTGCTCTTTGCCTCTCAACTTTATTTTCCCTTGTTCTCTAGCACTTACATAAATTTTGAGAAGTTGGTCTCTTCACTGCCTCCATAATATTGATACTTGTTTTCCCATGTTGTGCCCACTGTCTTTAATACCTTTCTTCCCCTTGTCCTTTGCCACTACAAATTCCTACCATACCTCAAGCCTGTGTTGACCATTTCAGCCCTTTTTAATGTCCATCTCCCCTGAGTTTCTCTGTACTTAGAGTTGATACCCCATAAGTTAGGCATTAACTGTATTTTATCTTGCACTGTTGGCTCTATCATCCAATGTCTTATATCTTATCACCCTAATCCATAGGTAAACTCCATGAGAACTTTATTACTATTACATCCTGTACTACTGCAGCCCAGTTCAGAACACACAGTGGATAACCTATAAATATTTGTTTGTTGATTGATTCTAACAGTATTCAAATCTAACCTTGTATTTACAGTGAGTTTTTTAATAGAAAAATTTTAAATGATTTTGATTGGTTCCATTTTCTTTCAAGGTAGGTTATGGTAGAAATCGCTAGCCTGTGCCAATAGCAATACAGAAGAATTATAGCCAGCGATGATCTTTGAGTCACTTTTCTGTCCAATCTAATGTGGAAGATGACCATTTAATTCTGAAATGATCTTATGCCAGTTCCCCTTCCAATTCACCCACTGTTGTCTGGAGAGTTTCACTGCAGAGAAGCTGTAGACTGAGAAAAGGAGAGAGGGAGTTTGTTGCCTGGAGAATAAGAACCTAGGAATTGAAACCTGGATGGGAGGAAGAAAATTTACGCTAACTACTCTAGCTTTACTGCTGCCTATGCTTTTTAAAGTATTCTTCAAACAAGAATGATGCTTTTTAAAAATATATTTAATGAGGAACTATTACTGACAAATACCTGCCATCAACACTCTCAACAATGTATATTGGAGGCAGGAGGGTGAAGCAAAAAGCACATGTTTAAATCACAGCTGGAGAACTTTCTAGCTTATGACTTTGGCAAGTTTCATGCCTCAGTTTCCTCATCTATAAAATGAAGATACTAATAGTTCCGATCCATAGATTTGCTATGAGGATTAGATGAAATAGTGTGTGCAAAGCATTCGTACAATGTCTGGCACATAGGAAGTGTAAATAAGAGGTAGTCCCCTACCTCTCCACTCTTCTCATCTTTTACACACATCAGGGCAAAGGCAGAGTTAGCATGACATGTGGAAAGGATATGGTGAGGATAAAACATTTGCACTAATAAGTAGTGGTAGTTACATGGGACCAAAGTATGGAAGGCTTGGGAAGCTACCTAGAGAAGGTTGAAGCATATTTCATCTGAACCGTGGTAGGTCCCCAGTAGGAAGTAGGAGGGGCATGGGTATGGAATGGAGAAGGGTGGATTGTTCATGTCAGAAAAGTTCCAGAGTAGGTGGGAAGAATGAGGTTCTGAGTACTACAAGAGGGGTCAGCCTTATAGAGAAGGAACGTGTGTTCCTCTAAGAGAAGGAGATGTATCAGGACAGGGATGTGTTAGGGTAGAGACAAAAGGATGTACCCCACTGCATAGGAGGAGATCATCCCAAGAGCAAGGGGACAAAGAGAGGAGAGTTGGAGGTATAAGAAAGGAGTATGTCAGTGGCACCACCTCTCTGAGGAATGTTTTAAGGACTCGGTAAAAATGAAGGGAAAAAAGTAAGATTGATGACCACTGAGGAAGGCTTGGGAGAGCATGGGTGGCATGAATCCTTGGTAGGATTCATTCTCCATCTTTTTTGAGGATGACTCAGCAGCTCTGGTTGCAGAACAGAAGAACCAGGCAGCAGGGAGTAAGGGGTCCCCTTCCCGCCACAGGCCTGGGACAAAAATCAGGGCAGCCAGCGTCTGCCAGGGCAGCAGTGAGAGCACTAAAGGAGTAACCACACACAGCAGTAATCACACAGGCGCCGTGGGTGCTGTGCCCGTGCACACATGTGGCCGGCCACAGACTCTATCCCCAAACTCATCCCAAGGCTGTTTATGAGCAAATTCAGGTGGCTCCTTTTCTTCATTTGATTTTCCTTACAATAAGTGCTTACTTTAAAATAAAGTCAACACGGATATAAATTGTTTAAAAGCTGTGTCATCTCTGGAGTGGAGTGGAACATGAAAGGTGCCTCCCTTTGTCACACATGTGGATAATAGGTGCTGGGCCCAAAGGTTTCCCAGTGTCAGATCAGATGCTGTTTTTTTAGGCACCTTAAAAGTTATGCTAGGGGAACTTCCCTGGTGGCACAGTAGTTGAGAGTCCGCCTGCCGATGCAGGGGACACGGGTTCGTGCCCCGGTCCGGGAAGATCCCACATGCCGCGGAGCGGCTGGGCCCGTGAGCCATGGCCGCTGAGCCTGCGCGTCCGGAGCCTGTGCCCCGCAACGGGAGAGGCAAAAACAGTGAGAGGCCCGCGTACCGCAAAAAAAAAAAAAAAAAAAAAAAGTTATGCTAGGGAATTCCCTGGAGGTCCAGTGGTTAGGGCTCTGCACTTCCACTGCAGGGGGCACAGGTTCGATCCGTGGTTGGGGAAGTAAGATCCCACGTACGCGGCCAAAAAAAAAAAAAAAAGCTATGCTAAAAGGGAGAGGGACCTCTAAATGTACTCCTGGGGTACGCCAAACCATAGAACAGAAGGAAGTTCATACTAGAACCTGGAGATTGCTGCAGCCTCTCTGGCCCAGCCCTCTCATCCTGCAGGTGAGGAAACGCACTCAGAGCCAGAGAGTGAGAAAGCCCCATGAGTCGTGAGGTACAGTGGAAGTGAGCACCCCTACTCTCACAGTCTGGACTGTGTGTGCTTCACTCTCTCTTGGTGCCTCAATGACCCCCTGACCCTGGGCAGGTCCCGCATGAAAGATAAGCTACAAAGTGCCCACTGCTCCCTCTTGACCAAAGTCAGGGGCACACAGGAAGCAGAGGCAGGAGCCTAGTGATGCTGCAGTGGAGCAGAGCCACTACAAACGCAGGCTTGGCACCACTTGCTAGCTGTGTGACCCTGGACTAGATACTTCTATTTTCTGTGCCTCGGTTTCTCCATCAATAAAGTGGGGGTAATAGTACTATTTGTTGTGAAGATTAGATAACGAATATAAAGTATTTAGCATTGTGCCCCAAAGGTAATAAAATGGCTAGTAGGGTTTAGTAATTATTATCATTACTTTTTTTGTACAAGGGTTTTGTGACCCATAAAACCCTGTAAAAAGTAAAGGATTGGCCATGATTATTACAACAGTGATGGCCAAGACTCCACTCACAGCCTTGTTTCTTTCTTCCTTCCACCCTCTCTCTGTGATCTTTGGCAACAAGACACTTCTACAGAAGCAGTAGCATAGGGAAAGATGGTGCAGAGCGTAAGAGTACTTACTCTTTCCAAAGCCCATCTCAGAAGACACCAGGGATGGCTCTGGCTTACAAACCCTGCCCCCCTCCTGGATACCGCCAGGTGATGGTGCACCTGCAAAAGTCTTGATTTGGCCAGTGGCCATGGTGAGATATATTCCTTTTCCTTTCCTGACTTCCTGACTTCAAGAAAGTGTTTCCTACCCCAGTTGCAATTTGAGTGTCAAATAAAGTTGAGTATCAAAGTTCATGGGTTACCAGGGCTGCCATGAACACATATAAGTACCTTAGTGTGAATTGCAAAAAGGCCTCTCTTCTTCAAGTCATGTTCCTTCCACTTTGTTTGAACAAGATAGTTTACTGTCCTGTGTAGAGCTCAACCTACATAACCATACATGGCAGCCTGTGGCTTCTATTCAGAATATTCATCTCTATTCTTTAGGTCCTGAAGCACCTACGGCACCTAAACTTTACCAACAATATGGGGGAGCAGGTAACTTTCGATGAATGTGGAGACCTGGCAGGGAACTATTCCATCATCAATTGGCACCTCTCCCCAGAGGATGGCTCCATAGTGTTTAAGGAAGTTGGATATTACAATGTCTATGCCAAGAAAGGAGAAAGGCTCTTCATCAATGAGGAGAAAATCCTGTGGAGTGGATTCTCAAGGGAGGTACGTGTTGTCCATCAGGATACCAGATGCCTCCACCACAGGCAGCAACTGTGCTGGGCTTTGGGAGGGCCTTGGACTTCACCACTGGACTTCCAGAATCATGAGTCCACTTCCCTCAACTCACTAACTGCATTGCCAGGGCTCCCTGTGAAATCCATGAGTGTTTAGTGTACAGAAGGGAATCTTCAGAACCTGAGCCCCATACTTATTATATTGAAACAATTTTATTCTTTACAAATCTGACTCCTTGGCTAATAATAGTTTCCTTGGCTAAAACTTTCCCCAACCAGAGAAAAACATCACTCAAGGCAGGGCATGGACAATTCACACAGAGGTAGTTCCCTGTCATCCAGATAGCTCAGGACTGACGTATAAGTCAAAAGCACAATTTATTCTCCTGCTATGGGAGACCTGTAACAAATAGGAGGATGCTTGTGACCATGATCAGGACCCCCTTCCATGAGTATCACTGCATCTAGAAGCTTGATTAATAACCAGAAGCACATTACCCAATGAATATGCCCTTAAGGAAAAGACGCATGATATGCTGAAATAATAACTATTCCATGATGGTTGCGTCCTAGAATATAGTAGGCTGCTGAGGACCTGGATCCTCTGTAGAAACAGACCCTGGACCGGGCATCCTCTTTAACTCTCCCAAGAAGCCTGGATGAGACCCACTACATTTCTCTTTGCATTTGCCTTTCTATTATCACCTTTGAGTGTCTTGAACCACTTTTTATAACATGACCAAAAATTCAACTTCATCTTTTTACCAAATGCTTCTTAGGTTGATGGGTTTCTGATGAAATACTACAATTTCACTGTTTCCCAATATAGAGGATAAGTTACCCACGAGAAGGTCTCCTATAGATAGCGAATATCATCCACAGTGTGCAAGTCTTTTTTAGCTTCTACCTCAGAGGGTGGATTCTCAATTATAAACATGTCATAACCTTTTCCAGACAGAACTTTTGGGGTTCCAGAGGTTATATCCCTCTGCCCACTAATTATACTCTTGTCTAAATTATCACAAGTTTCAACTGACTGAAGTCTAAATTGATCAGCTATATTATCAAGTCATCCCTGCTGTTGACTCATCTAGGTTATATTTTACCTCCATTCATGCACATAATTGATTGTCCCTAATTGGTGTAGATTGAACCATTTTTATTTTGTTTTTTTGAGGTTTTTGTCACTCACAGCCTAACAGAAGCCAAGAGGGAAAGCTACTAAACTCATTTTATGAGGCTGATATAATCTTAACACCAGAAACAGACAATAACAGTACAAGAAAAGACAATTATAGGCCAATTTATAAACATAGATGTGCTCACATCCTAAATAAAATATCAACAAACTTGGACCACCAATGTATAAAATATATAATATATCGTGATCCAGTAGAGTTTGCAGTGAATTTACAGGAACATAATGATAGCCAAACATTCCAACGTTGTAGTGTTTGTAGATGTAGTTTACCCTTTCCTTTCCTTCGAACCAGGGTCCTGAGAATCTTAGCAATCATCAGGTCTGATGCTGCCATTTCTATTCCTCTTTCATTAGAAAATAGTGTCCATCATCTTCTGTTCAAGTGTTTTGAAATTCCTTGTTAAGCCAGTTATTTCTTTTTTGCTGGAAGCAATGATAATTATTTTATTGCTTTCCGTGTGTTTAACTTTGTAAGACATCTCCAGTTCAAGCAGTCATGGGGACGGGGAAGGTCTTATTAAAGAGATATTTTGGAAATAGTATGAGCTCTATCACGTATCAAGCATTATTCAAGGCTTTGTAACTGGGGCTACAAAAATGAGAAAGACTTGCTCCCTACCTTCAAGATGCTTTTGCAAAGTATACTTCATTCTTATGATACATCTATTATCTCTGATCCACATAGACTGTTAGGTAGTAAATACCTAAGAAATTTCTAGAGTAAGTACTCAGTTACCTGGCATGATCAGAGAACGAGATAGAAGCAGGACTTCTGAAATGGTGAAGCAATGGTAAATTGGGCAAAACTGTCAAAAACAACCCTTTAAGAACCTAGAAATCAACCAGTAGCATACATCAAAAGGTGAAGGATTTTTTTTTTTTAAGACAAACTAATGAAACTCAGGTAAGAATAGTGGCAGTCTGGGCATTTTAGCCTGGGGCTGCTCTCCGATTGTTTCTAATGTGGACAATCATATCGTCTGCAGTTTTATTTAGAATAACAGATTTATTTAGCCTTTTCCAATATGTTTGCCCTTCTTTTTCTTGTTTTATTCCACCAGCTAGAAACTCCAGTGAAATATATAATAATAGTGGTGATACTGAGCACCCTTGTTTTAAAGTAAATGCTTTTAATATTGTGTATTAGAATAGAATGATTTTTAAGAATTTGGGGGGTTTTTTCAAGGTAAAGATATTTCTTCCTACTCTCTTTCATTGTTTTTATCACTAGTTTGTGTTACATTTCGTCAAATACTTTTCATCCATTGATGATCATATTTTTCTGTGTTAATTTATTACTGCAGTGAATGACACAGATTTTCTAATATTAAACTTGTTTGCATTCCTGGCATAAACTCAGCATGATCATGGTGTATTTTCTTTTTCATATCCTTTGAGTTTTAGTATTTTTCATCTACTTTCAAGTAGTAGAAAGTAGTTGTACTCTTTCCAGATCCTTTCAGATTCCTTACACTTTGCATGTATCTCCAGGACTTCTGTACATTTTTACTTCCAATAACCAGAACTTGATGCTCTTTTTCAGAAGACTGCCTGCAGGCTAATGGAACCCATTTGGCTCACAGGCTCAGAGAGGCAAAGGAGAACCTCAGAAGAGCCTAGGAATTTACATTTCCCTTAACCTATGAGTGGTGTGGAAGTGTGAAAGCCCTCGCCCTTTTCTTCAGATCAGGACAGCTCTGGGGCATAACCTACAGTCCAGAGCTCCCCTGGGGGATCAGGCAGAAGTCTGAGGGACTTTTCTCGGGATCACACCCTTGCTTCTTCTCCTCCCTTCTATGTCCTACTTCCTCTAGTCTCTTCCTGGTTCCCTTGGGAGAGCTTTCTTTATAAATCACTTGGACACAAATCCTCAACTCAGCTCTGCTTCTGAAGACAATTTAATAAGTGAGATGGGCCTGTAATTTTTTTTTTTCTTTTTCATGCTGTCCTCGTCTTGTTTTGGAATCAGGGTTATTATACTGGCCTTACACGACTGAGTTGGAGGGTACTCCTTTCTAAAAAAAAAATTATTTTCCTGATCTCTGATAGAGTTTGTACAAGATTAGGTTGCTCTATTCCTTGAGAGTTTAGTACTACTTGCCTGTGGTGAACACAGGATGATGGTCATCTCAGGTATGACTATGTGCTGAGGAGGAAGTAAGTGGAAAGGGGAGTGTATAGTTAGATGTAGGTTGCTGTCCCATCCTAGTTTTTGTCTTGGATGGTAGTCATTAAAAATGACTAACTGAAGTGGTTCAAACATGGACAAGTCATGATGGAAAGAAACAAGGATTATGATTAATCAAATTCTGTGCACCTGAAGTCCACTACGGAAATAAATAAATTAAATTAAATCCATGTTATCTGAAGTTAATGTAGCTACTGAAGCTTTCTTTTGGTTAGTAATTACCTGATATATTTTTCTGATCCATTTACTTCCGACTCCTCCATGCCTGTCCTGCCTGCCTCACTGAGCTGTTGCAAGGATCTCAGAAATCACCCTATAAAACCTAAAAGAAAATTGCAGGAATTGCAATTCACTACAAAGTTCAAAGTCTCATTTTCAAATAAATTACCCTTCGTCTCAGCATCTCCCCTTGTGACTCTCCCTCTGTGTGTAGGTCCATGTCCCTGTGTCTAGGTCCATGTCCCTGTGTCTTTTAGTTTGTTTCAAACTTTTACTTCTATGGAAAGTAGACAGATGTCTCATTATGGGACTTGGAGATGATGGAAGGGAAGACTGTTTAAGGAGGATTTTGTCACTGTGTAGACTCCCAACAATTAATCTTTCTAGAATCCCACTGAGGTGTGTGTGTGTGTGTGTGCGCGCGCGCGCGCACGCGCCTGCACTTGCCCATAGGCATCCCTCCCTTTCATAGATAACAGGAACAAAGACCTCTGGACCTTCCTATGCCTGGATTGGGCCTGAGTCTGCCGCACTGGTCCTAGTGCCCAGCCCCTCCGTCTTACCCGTGTCAGTGGAGCTGGAAGACTGATCCTGCGGCTGCAGCCCCTCACTGTTGTGATCTCTGTCCTCCAGGTGCCTTTCTCCAACTGCAGCCGAGACTGCCTGGCAGGGACCAGGAAAGGAATCATTGAGGGGGAGCCCACCTGCTGCTTTGAGTGCGTGGAGTGTCCCGACGGGGAGTATAGTGATGAGACAGGTAAAGGAGCAGCCCCTCGTGGACACCATGCAGAGCTCGGTTCACTTTGGGGCCCTGGGATCAGCGAAGTACCTGGAAGGGCTGGGCTGCGATGGTGCTTAGCCTGGTTTCTCATTTAACAAGGTGTGTCTGAGCATCACGCTGGGCTGGGCACTGAGGGGGTAAGAAGAGGAATGTTAGTCTCTGTAATGCCATAAAAGCTTACAAACACACCTGTTACACATCTTTCTCTTACTTCGATACTGCTCTCCAATATTGTTTTCTTTTTCTTATAGCTCAATGATCCTGAATAGACAAAGTTCTGTGTGTTCCCGTCTCCAGAGTTAATACGCCATGATAGATGGCCTGCTGAGTGATTGGCACCGTACTTACCGTCTTACTTATGTTTTTCCTGTGCCTCAGTTTCTTCATCTATAAAGTAGGAATAATAGTAAACCTATCTTATAGAGTTTGGTTGATTCATTGAGTTAGTATTGGTAAAGCACATGGTAAATTATAGATAAATATTTGTTAAATAAAAACCTTGAGTAGCATATTGGAAGCACTCTATAAATACGAACTATTATTATTTTATCATTGTTTTTAATTCATTTCATCCTCACCACAATAATGGGGTTATTATTGCCTACATTTCACAGGTGATGAAACCGAGGCTCAGAATGTTTAAGTAGCCTGACGAAAGTCACACAGCTAATAAGTGGCAGGGCCAGGATTCCCATCCAGATCTCTGACTGCAAAGCCCATGCTCCTTTCACTCCCCAAAACTGCACACTGCATGAGACATAGCAGAGACTTAATAAACATTTGTTGGTCAAATGAGTCTGTGGACTCCCTCACTAGAAAGCCGTGGATGAGGAAGGTACAGGTCACATGCGTGGGAAACTTTGCCTTGATCTAAGAAGAAGTCTGCTCTGGCATGTCTACAAAGCCCATCCTTATGTCCAAAATGAGTCAGGCTGAGCGTGAAGCACTGTGAAATTTGGTGGACAGTGCCAGACCCTTAGTGTGCAGGGCAGCCACCTACCCAGCAAGACTAATCTTTCTCTGCTACAAACCATCAGCAAGAAAGTAGCCCCCTTATGTACAAAGGAAAAATATAATGGAACCATCAAAGACACATGAAATTAAGTATATTATTAAGCATAAGTCAGGGTTCAATACATTATTTGATAACGTAAAAATCACAATTATTTCATCAATAAAGAAAATTTAAAGTGCCCTCACCACCACATTCACACTCACAAAGTTCAGTCTTTGCCACACAGTACTAACCCTTTACTGGGACATTTTACAGACGCAAGTGCCTGTGACAAGTGCCCTGATGACTTCTGGTCCAATGAGAACCACACTTCCTGCATTGCCAAGGAGATTGAGTTTCTGTCCTGGACTGAGCCCTTTGGGATCGCACTCACCCTCTTTGCTGTGCTGGGCATCTTCCTCACTGCCTTCGTGCTGGGCGTCTTCATCAAGTTCCGCAACACGCCCATTGTCAAGGCCACCAACCGAGAGCTCTCCTACCTCCTCCTCTTCTCCCTGCTCTGCTGTTTCTCCAGCTCCCTGTTCTTCATTGGGGAGCCCCAGGACTGGACCTGTCGCCTGCGCCAGCCGGCCTTTGGTATCAGCTTCGTGCTCTGCATCTCGTGCATCCTGGTGAAAACCAACCGCGTCCTCCTGGTGTTTGAGGCCAAGATTCCCACCAGCTTCCACCGCAAGTGGTGGGGGCTCAACCTGCAGTTCCTGCTGGTCTTCCTCTGCACCTTCATGCAGATCGTCATCTGTGCCATCTGGCTCAACACCGCGCCCCCCTCGAGCTACCGCAACCACGAGCTGGAGGATGAGATCATCTTCATCACCTGCCACGAGGGCTCGCTCATGGCACTGGGCTTCCTGATCGGCTACACCTGCCTGCTGGCTGCCATCTGCTTCTTCTTCGCCTTCAAGTCCCGGAAGCTGCCGGAGAACTTCAACGAAGCCAAGTTCATCACCTTCAGCATGCTCATCTTCTTCATCGTCTGGATCTCGTTCATTCCCGCCTACGCCAGCACCTACGGCAAGTTTGTCTCTGCCGTGGAGGTGATCGCTATCCTGGCAGCCAGCTTTGGCTTGCTGGCCTGCATCTTCTTCAACAAGGTCTACATCATCCTCTTCAAGCCATCCCGTAACACCATCGAGGAGGTGCGCTGCAGCACCGCGGCTCACGCCTTCAAGGTGGCGGCCCGCGCCACGCTGCGCCGCAGCAATGTCTCCCGCCAGCGGTCCAGCAGCCTTGGGGGCTCCACGGGATCTACCCCCTCCTCCTCCATCAGCAGCAAGAGCAACAGCGAGGACCCCTTCCCGCAGCCCGAGAGGCAGAAGCAGCAGCAGCCGCTGGCCCTGACCCAGTGCACGCAGCAGCCACAGCCGCGGCCGCCCTCGACCCTGCAGCTGCAGCAGCAGCCCAGATGCAAGCAGAAGGTCATTTTCGGCAGTGGCACAGTCACCTTCTCGCTGAGCTTTGACGAGCCTCAGAAGAGCGCCATGGCTCACAGGAATTCCACGCACCAGAACTCCCTGGAGGCCCAGAAAAACAACGACGCCCTGACCAGACACCAGGCGTTACTCCCGCTGCAGTGCGGGGAGACAGACTCGGAACTGACCGCCCAGGAGACAGGCCTGCAGGGGCCTGTGGGTGGGGACCACCAGCCAGAGATGGAGGACCCGGAAGAGATGTCCCCAGCACTTGTAGTGTCTAATTCACGGAGCTTTGTCATCAGCGGTGGAGGCAGCACTGTCACAGAAAACATGCTGCATTCCTAAAACGGAAGGAGAAGGCCAGTCCAGGGGGAATTCCAGAGAGGTTTCCTGGGATCACGGTCTCCGACAGGGATGAGGAATCACCCCAGACTCCTTTCCTCCAGGAAGGAGGAATAAGACACCCCAAATGCGTGGAACTTAGTTGCACTGCCACAAATGACAGTGAATTGACTAATGTTCCCTTTAAAATTAAAAAGAGGAGAGCTGTGTGCTTCTGTGGTTGGATTTGTCAGAGCGCTGAGATCCCCGTAGTCAGGTTCGCTGTTCATGTCCGTGCCTCTGTTCTCCTCCTCTGTTCTATCCCGCTCAACAGCCCAGAGATGAAACCAAGGCTTTAAACTACCCACCTACTCCCCCTGTTTTATGGGTTCTGGTTTTTGGTTTTAATACTGAAATGTCTGCCCTGAACTTTGCAGACAGCCTGGTCCAGAGACAAAAGTGTGCAGAGTGACAGGACATCAGATTTGACCACCACTAGAGTTGAGTCTGAAAGACAGAATGTCACCAGCACTGCCCAGCACCTTGATGATGGAAAGAACTTGAAATGTCCAAAACTGTAAGGTGAATGTGTCCCCTCCTATTTATGAAAACTATAAAATATTTAGACTCTTACTTGCTGCTGCTATCATGTGACATCGAGAAGGTTAGCATCCCTCCTGTACGGGGACATCTGGTTTGGTCCAGAATGTATTAGTGATGTCATGTTTAGATTCCATGATCACAAGAATCACCTCAGATTGTTGGGAAGGGACTGCATGAATCCAATGAGCTGTATCTGTAATTAATATTGCCATATGTAGCTTTATCCTTAAGAAAATACTTCTGCTGTAATAGTCCGTGGACAATATAAACTGGGAAAAAGTGCCCCAGTCTGGTTTATATAAGGCAGTATTATTGAGCTCCATTTTCCTTGCCCATCCCACCACCTGCACCCCCATGAGCTAAGGCCTATGTGAGTCCTTTCAGGGCCCCAGGGGTCCAGAAACTCCCCACTTCCCTGCCGCAAAGGCTTCCTGAAGCCAAATCCATGCCTTCCCCTGTGAAGAATAAGCTCCCAGTCACTGGCCTCCTACCAGTTGCTGGGGTAAGAAAATGTGATTCTGAGAGAGCTCTCATGGGGAATTACCCTGGCACTCTACCCCCCAAATGCTGTACCTACGTTCCCTCCAGCAGTGGGAGTCTGCCCATGGGTAGTTACAGGATGGAACGCTGAACGGCATGCTGCTGAACAGTCAGGCGCTGGAGCTACAGAGACCTGGGTTCAAGCACTGGGTTGGTCACTGACAAGCTGCGTGACCCTAGGCAGGGAACCTTGACCTCACTCAGCCCCAGTTTCTTTGTGTCTAAAATGGGGGTAATAATCATTCTTTTCCCTCAGAGCTCTTATGTGAATTAAATGAGATAAATGTATGTAAAGTACTTTAGCATGGTGCCTAGCCCCTAGTAAGCAGTCAATAAATATTAGTTAATATTATTCCTCATATTGTAATTTTTTTCACGTGTTTAAAATACAAAACAACACATTTATTTACCATTCAGATTTTAACAACAAGCTCACTGAGCACAATAACTTTCTCCATAATAAGCCCAAGAACCCTAGGGCCCAGTTCAAGGGCTCCTGAGCGACACTGCTCATGGTGAAGCCAGAAGGTCACTGCCCCAAGCGCCCCATGATACCTCCACCTCTGGTGCCAGAACCCAGATCTCTAGCACCAAGGGCAGACCATTCCATTCTGGCATTAATTTCCCAGATCACTCTAAATGCTGCCCTTAAGCCAAGGTCAGGTAGAGCAATCAAATCTGTGTGGTCCTGATGACTTCTTCCTCTGACCATTTTTCTCCAAAGGGCCACCTTTCCACGATTTTTTAAGTGACTTGTGGAAATGATGGTTGTCAATCTGGATGAAAAGGCATCAGCGGGCGCCATGTGGGAGCACCGATGTGAGACACGGAGAAGGTGTCACACAGGAAGACCTGGTGAGGCACCTGCTCCCTGAAGCCAGGCCCAGTCTGCCGCCCCCACCCTGGTTACGCCTCTGAGCAAGGCCCAGAGCTGAGTGAAGATTTATATTTAACATTTTACTTGGACTTTTGAAGAAATGGCTGAAAATTTGATGGCTGGGTTTTTGTTTTATTGGTCAAAACAACTATGTGCAAACAGCTACTTTGCTATGCAGAGTGCCACACACTCAAGCTCACACTTCCCAGGTCTGACAAACAGCTCACCCTCATGGCTGAGCTGCAGGAAGAGGCTCGTCGGGGAAAACACACACCATTTACAATGAGCCTCACTTCACCAAGTGCTTGCAGGTAAAGTCATCTCTCCCCACGTCCTTGTCAGAAAGGGAGACGGCATCACTGTTCTCAGTCATACGTAGCAGGCACAACTCTCAAGCACGCAACCAGGGGTGTCAAATATGAACCTTCATTATTTTTCTGTAACAACCTAGTTTCTTTCTCAAATTCCCATTCAGCCTAATGACAGAAACTTCATCTTAGTCAAGCTGGGTTTTTTCTCAGTAACTTCAGAGCTTTCTGAACCAATTTAGATTTCTGGGGATCTGTTCAGAGGTTTCTTCCTTCCCGCTTACAGGAAGGTTTTTGTAGCGTCAGGAGGTGGTGTTCCTCAAACATCTGCGGCTCCTGTTGACATCTCTGAGAACATTCTTATCTGACCCTCAGTAATTGTTATGCCTCCACACTGGCATCCTCTGAGGCATCTCATCCCCGTGTATCCCGAGTCATGGGATCCACAGTGATTTTCACTGCTGCATCACTTTGTCCCAACTACGAGGCCCCTCCCGGGCCTGCCAGGTCTCTCATGAGACAGCCCTGGGGCCTGGGAGTGACCAGGCAGCTCTCAGGCCCCTCCCTCCTGGCCCCTCCACTGCCATGTCTGCTTGACGGGGGCCCCCCCATGACGGTATGGAGAAGTCACAGAGGCTAACAAGCTTCCAAAGCGCCAGAGGAGGAACAGGGCACTTATCGCCAAACCTATACAAGCCTTTGTGGAAGGGTGAATAAGGGCACCCCCAAAGATGCCCACGCCCTAATCCCTAGAACCTATCTATGGTTGTGTTAAGTTACATGGCAAGGTGAATTAAGGTTGCAGATTGAATTAAGGTTGCTAATCAGCTGACCTTGAGATAGGGAGATTATTTTGAATTATCCAGGCAGGCCCAATGTAACTACATCTCCGTAAAAGAGGGAAGCAGAAGCAGCGGCGTCCGAGTGATACCATGTAAGAAAGACTCCACTGACTATTGCTGCCTTTGAATATGGAAGGGAGCCATAAGCCAAGGAATGCAGGTGGCTTCTAGAAGATGGAAAAGGCCAGAAAACCGGCTCTCCCCCACAGCTTCCAGAAGGAACCAGCCCTGCCAACACCTTGGTTTTAGCCCAGTGAGACCTCTTTTGGACTTCTGATCTCCAGAACTGTAATAAACCTAGATACATAAATAAATAAAACCTAAGAAATAGATGTTGTTTTGAGCCACTAAGTTTGTGGTAATTTTTTACAGGAGCAACAGGAAACTAATATATACAGTGTTTTTACTGTCATCTCGTTTCCTGAGCTTCAGCAGCTCAGGGCAACAGGCCACGGCCTTTCTCAGAGAGCAACACCTGCTCCTGCTGTAGTTCTCTCCCCGCCCAGCTAGCTCCCTCTCTCTCCTCCACAGTTCCCTTCCTCCTATCTGCTTGGGGAAGTATAAACCTTGTGTTCCGAGTCTTTCTTGGCTTTGGTTTTAGACAACTAATGGCTGTGTTCTCCCAATCTGTTTTCTGTCAGTAGCAGAAACCTGAAAAATAATAGCTTCAAAAAAGCAGTTTGTTTTTCTCTTATATAAAAGAAGTCAGAAGTTTTTGGAGGGACTTCCCTGGTGGTCCAGTGGTTAGGAATCCGCCTTCCGATGCAGGGGATGAGGGTTCGATCCCTCTTCGGGAAACTAAGAGCCCACATGCCGCAGGGCAACTAAGCCCGCGCGCCACATCTACTAAGCTCGTGCGCCTCAACTAGAGAGCCTGCCTGCCACAAACTACAGAGCCCACACGCTCTGGAACCCGTGCACAACAACTAGAGAAGAGGAAAAAGACCCGCACGCCACAACTAGAGAGAAGTCCACACTGCAACAAAAGATCCCACATGCCGCAAGGAAGATCCCGCGTGCCGCAATGAAGACTCAACGCAGCCAAATAAATAAATTAAATTAATATTTTAAAAAAAGTTTTTGGAAAGATTCTTTAGAGTCCCTTGGCAATGGGAGACAATCTTTCTTTTGAAAATAAAAATGAATTATATAGTTATGAAGGATTTTCACTCAAATGAGTTTCTTAGCAGATTCTAAGAATTTACATTGGAACTTAGGGGTAATGATCACCATATAACATTTTACCCTGAAAGTCCCTATGATCATCAAAACGTGTTGAATTGCGTTAGTTTCAATTTGGGGGAAATTAGGCCTGCCCTACCTCTGTCTCCAAAAGTTGCATTTCAGGACAATATTATTTCTCCTCTTGGCCTGGCTAAAGCCATATAAGCTGTGGGCTGGCTCTGCATGGAGCCAGAACTTCCCTCTGCTCATCTCCTGCATTTGAACTCATTAGCGCTGGAAGAGCAAGGGAACATCAGTAAGGGGTGCTGGTTAATCACTGGAGGAGGTGGCCTGCATTGCTCTGAGCCTGGCTAGTCATTTCAGGAGTCCGCTGGAGACAAAGGCATCTCCCAAAGTTGGGTGGAGTTGGGGTAAGTGGAAAGGAGTTGTTATAGTGAGATCACTCGTCTCTAGGAGACCCTGTATTTCCTGTCACTAATCATGGAAAAATACTAGGGGTTGGTCAAGAACTTTTATATATATATATATATATATATATATATATATATATCTTTATTGGACTATAATTGCTTTACAATATTGTGTTAGTTTCTGCTGTACAGCAAAGTGAATCAGCTATATGTGTACATATATCCCCATATCCCCTCCCTCTTAAGCCTCCCTCCCACCCTCCTTATCCCACCCCTCTAGGTCATCAGGAAGCATCGGAGCTGATCTTCCTGTGCTATGGTGCAGCTTCCACTAGCCTTCCATTTTACATTTGATAGTGTATATATGTCCGTGCTACTCTCACTTCGTCCCAGCTTCCCCTTCCCCCCACACCCACGTCCTCAAGTCCGTTCTCTACGTCT